TGCTGTGGGAAGGCTGAAGGTGGTTTATGGCTCTGGCAGCGTTTGAGTGCTGTTGACAGGTTGACTCCTTCTCCTAAAGAGGTCAAATGAAAAGCTGGGAGCTCCAACATTATGCAACTTCTGTGCAGTGACTAGAATCAGTGAACTGTTCAGTTTTGAGCGTGTTCATCCAAGTGAACCGATTCACAAAAATGAAAAAAGCTTCATTATGAGAAAGAGAGGACATTTTAGGTCATTTTATTATTGCATCAGTCCAAAAAAAAAAAAAAAAACATTAAAAAGTTTGCAGATGGGAGCCAAAAAGTGTTTTAAAATAAATATTTGTTGGTGGAATAAAGCCAGTTGTAAAATGTTTTTAAAGCTTGGAGATTTTATGCTTTACATCACTGTAAGTCTTTTTGCCTTCCTTTTTCAGCTGTCAAGTGGCAACAGCTCATCTAGACCAACACTTTCCTCATTTCTGATATTTTCACACCTGACTGACCTTTCAAACCATCATGGAATTGTGCTGAACTTTTTCTCCCTGTGTTCAAGGCTCTGCTTTTTTCTCCCTTTGCGATGTTCTTGCCTGTCAAGCTGTATTAGTGTCCGCTCAAAATAAGTCATTTAGAAGAACCTTAGCTGAGCAGCCTCTGAACCCCATTAAAAGCTTGGAGCTCAGAGCCCAGAAGCCTTTGTCTCTTCAGCCTGCGGGATTAGTGGAGATTTGCTGCTAAGAAAAAAAGTAGTTATTTCATGGCACTTTCATGATGAAACCTGGCCAAAGCTGTGTTGGCTGGGAGGATTAGAGCCACACAAAGACGCTGGTTGTGTGTGACCCCCTCCCCGAAAACCACCGGCCCAGTGCAGAGCCCCCTCCTAACCCCAAACACACACCATCCCCACCTCATAACTCCGGTTCAGTCCGTAATGAGAGCTCCGTTTTCATCTCCAGCCCACTAAAATTGTGTTTCGGCTTTACCCCGACCCACTCGGAGACCACAAAGTGGTGGATGCATCTGGAATTTTCTCATTCAGATGTTTATTTACATAGGTGTAATTGGATGCAAACCCATTAATTTGTCTTAGTGGCCAGCTATAGTCGAGCTTTGGAGGTTTAGGCCCTGTCTGTAGAGTTTAAGGGGTTTAGAGGATGTGTGCCAGTGGATCCACTTACAAAGACACAGATTAGCAGCATTAAAAACACAGGCCAAACTAGTAAACTCATTTCAGAGTTTCAAAACCATAAAATAGCTTCAGATTTTGCTTTATTTTTTGCTTTAGGTCAAAAATAAAGAACTGGTATAGTATTTAGGAACACCTAGTACACAAAGTTTGCATACCGTCAAAATCTCATACCGGCCCATGTCTAT